TATTTGATTGTAAATGTATTGACTGCTGCTAGGATTGTATTTGCAAAAAATTGGAAAAATGAGAAAATTCCATTGCAAGAAGAAGTTGTAAAGAAAATTTTGGAATGTGCTGAGATGAGTAGATTGACTTTTGAAATTAGAGAGCAAGAAGATAAACAATTTTATTTAGTTTGGGATCTTTTCTATCAATGGTTGAATGATGAAATATTAAAATATAAAAGTTAGATAATAAGGAATAATAATGACTTTATTTTCCCTTTCCTTTTATTGGTTTTTGATACTATATTTATATAATAGTTTTCTTTGTTTCTTTCTTTTTCATATTTGGGATAGAATTGGTATGATTATAAGATTTGTTTTAGAATAAAATATTTAAAATATAGTTATCTCATAAAGGCATGACCGAATAAAAGTTTAGTCAAATTTTTTTTTTTTTTCTTTAATAGAGATACTAGGATTTATAAATTTGTATTGATAAGAGTATTATATAAAGTAACTGTAATTGTGACTATGAGGTGAATGCACAAAACCGATGGACCAACCGACTTACGGTGTGTACAAAAATATGGGGGAGCTGATACTTTTATGTTTTGTTGTTGTGTTTTTTATGTTAAAAAAATAATAAAAATTTATATATAAAAAAAAAAAAAGAATTAGGCAAGCCTATGATATGCATAATTGGCGACTTTAATGCAATTTCTAACAATAAACAGGATTACGCCAGTGATCAAAAATATCCCCCAAAAAGAGAAATACTTTGCCTAAATGTTTTTTCGATATTGCTGAGGAACCCAGATTTAGTAGATGCATGGAGGAAATGGAATCCGGAAGTGACCCAGTTTACCTTCTACTCCAATCCACACAAATCCTGGTCAAGGTTAGATATGGCATGGATGAATAATGATTTACTTAAGGATATAAAAAATATACTGTAGAAATTTTAACCAACACTTGGGCAGATCATAACCCATTGCAAATAACTTGGAAAACCCAAACTTTAAAAAAAGCTAGGTGGACACTTAACCCACAACTATTGAAACAAAATGGATACACTCAAAAAATTAAGGAAGAATTAGAGATATTTTTTAAATTCAATAAAAAATAAGGTACTTCGTTGCAAATATTTTGGGACACAATGAAGGCATACCTAAAGGGTATATTGATAGCCTATACAGCCAAAAGAAATAATGGAAGAAACAAAACTTGTTAATAAAAAGACTAAAAGATTTGGAAAATAGACTAATGAAAGCCCCAAGGGACTAACAAATAAAAAATGACTTGATATTACTTAAACATGAATTGAATATACTGTATTAGACCAGGAAGATTTAATTAAGACAATGCTATACACAAAACAAAATTATTTTGAATATGCAAACAAACCCAGAAGATGGTTAGCGTATAAACTGAAAAAAGAAAACCAAAAAAGAATTATATACCAATTGCAAGATAATAATGGGATATTAGAGACGGAATTGGAGGAAAAGAAAACAATCGTAAGAGACTATTTCGAGAATTTATATAACCAAGAAGAAATAGACGCAAATAAATTAGAATATTTGAAAGAAAGTACATTACTGCCATTAACAGAAGATAAAAGGGAGATATTAAATAAGGAGATAACTTTAGATGACTTAAAAGAAGCGATTAAAAGGCAAAAAAGAAATAAAACTCCAGACCCAAATGGGTTGCCAAGCGAATTATACAAAGAGATTGGAGAATCACTAGAAAAGTTGTTCCTAGAGATTTCCAATTAGGAAAGAGGCAAGAGTCCCGGAATCGTGGAAGGAGGCCCATATTATATTGATCCCTAAAGAGGGTGCAGATGCTACCCAGGTAAAAGATTACAGACCAATATCTCTTTTAAGCACAGATTACAAAATTTTTATGAGTGTGATGGCGGAAAGATTGAAGCTAATTCTCAATGAAAGAATTCACCCTGACCAGAATGGATTTCTTCCCATGAGACAGATTAGAAATAATACAAGAATGATAATTGATTTATTAGAATACCATGAAACACATCCAGGAAGCCAAGTTGCTCTGGTCTTCCTAGACGCACAAAAGGCATTTGACAACCTAAACTGGGAATTTATGAAACGCCACATAAACTTGATGAAATTCGGGGATAACTTCACAAATATGTTAGATTCAATTTATTTAACTCAGAAAACAAGGGTAATGATAAATGAAGAATTTACCAATCCTTTTGAAATAAAAAGGGGTGTCAGGCAGGGATGCCCATTATCACCTCTGCTTTTTATTACAATATTAGAAACATTACTGGACAGAATTAGAATGAATGAGAAAATTAAAGGTACTAAGATTAAGACAAGAATATAAACTACAGGCATTTGCTGATGATGTAGTCGTTATTATAGAGCAGTGGTCCCCAACCACTGGGCCCCGGACTGATACCGGTCCGTGGATCATTTTCTACCGGGCCACTGGTTTGCTGGGCGCCGCCATCTTGTTTTGATGAGAAAGTGCTTCCGGGTGAGCTTTTCCGGTTGGAAAGCGGTGTTTGGGTGCTGAAGGAATCCTCGCGCCTTAGTTTCATTGAAGGGGGTGGCTTCGAACGAAGAGCCGTCCCGATGGCAGAGGAGATTAATAAAGCACAAAAAAGCACAAAAAGGGTACAAAGGAGGAGTTGAAGGCGGCGGGGAGAAGTGGGGGATGGCTGGCTGGCCGGTGGCTCAGCTCGCCTTGCCTTGGTCATGCATGCTGATGCCAGTAACGGGCCGTGGATCATTTTGTGATGCCAGTACCGGGCCGTGAAACAAAAAAGGTTGGGGGCCACTGTTATAGAGGATTCAATAGAGTCAGGATCAACCTTATTAAAAGAAATTGATAAATTTGGTAAACTAGCTGGGTTGAAAATCAGTAAGGAAAAAACCAAAATGTTAGTTCAAAATATAACAAATAATAAACAAAAAGAACTAGAAGAAATAGTGGAACTACAAATTGTCAATAAGATTAAATATTTAGATATATGGTTGAGACCCAGAACAATAACTTTGAAAGAAGACAATTATGTTAAACTAGTACAACAAATAGGAAGAGATTTGGAGATATGGAACAAAATGCAGATTTCTTTATTAGGCAGAATTGTCACAATTAAAATGAATGTTCTTCCTAAACTGCTTTATTTATTCCAAACGATGCCTATGTTATTGGATAAATTGTTTTTCAAAGAATTGGATAAAATTACTATGAAATTCATATGGGCAGGCAAGAAATCAAGAATTAAGAAAAATTATTTACAAGATAATAAAAGCAAAGGTGGCTCTGGTCTCCCTGCCTGGGAAACCTATTATAAAGCAACAATGTTAATGTGGATAAAGGATTGGATTAAATTGGATAACAAAAGAATTCTAACATTAGAAGGATATGACTTACAAATAAGGTGGCATGCCTTTTTGTGGAACCTGAGTAATAAAAGTCACTCATACTTCCAGAGACATACTCTACACAAATCTTTGATAAAAACCTGGTCTGATATTAGGAAAAATCATTATATTAAAGTTCCGTTATGGTTGTCAACAATGGAGGCAACGTTCCACCCTAATACAATGGACATCAGTAAAAAGCTCAAATATTACCAAATTTTAGACAAAGAAGGAAAGCTCAAATCGACCCAAGAGTTAGAAAACCAAGAAATAATGATTGATCGTTGCTCCTATTTCCAAATAGCAATAAGATATGAGAAAGATTTAAAAGAATTTGGAATAGAATCAAAGAGTACGAAATTTGATAAGATACTTTTGGGCCCAGACAAAAATATGATGTCTAAATTATATAATTATCTATTGGAATATGAATTAGCAGAGGAAATTGTGAAAGGACCAATGATAGCATGGGCAAGAAATTTCGGCCATAATATAGACTTAGAAGACTGGGAAGAAATCTGGCAGAGAAATCTTACAATAACTAAATCTGTTTCTTATAAAGAGAACTTATATAAAATGATATATAGACGGCATCTAGCACCCTCCAGATTAGCAAAAATATATCCAACATCCAATCCAACTTATTGGAAATGCAAAGGGAACCATGGTACCTACTTCCATCTCTGGTGGACATGCCCAGTGGTCAAAATTTTTTGGATTAGAATCAAAACTTGGGTTAGAAGAAATTGTCCAGGGTGGATTGCAGTGGGAACCTATCATTAAGGAAGGTTATCCCTCTAAAGTAAAATATTTGATATCCATATCCTAACAGCGGCATGTATCTCACTGGCTCAATTTTGGAAATTGCCTAATATACCAATACAATTTATTATTCAAAAAAATTGTGAATGTGCAGAAATGGAAAAACTCACACTAAAATTAAAAGAGGAGGAATTTTACTCGACCTGGAATAAGTGGTATGATTGGCTAGAACGTAAAAAAAATGAAAAGGGGAATCAAGGGGTGAAAATAAACTTATGAAACAGATTATGATACATACAACAGCAAACAGGAATCATTAATGTCAGTCTTAGACTTTCTCATACTTTAAACAATCAATAGAAGGAATTCATTGGTAAAAATAAATAAGTATAATCCAACAAAAAATTTTAACAACAGAACATCATGTTTGATAGAACATAAATAACAGAGAACTCATAGGAAGTAAGAAATAACTGCCACATAATATAATTTAGGAAATATTTAACTCACTGTCAAATATATTAAAGGAAAGTTGAATAAGTTTTACCACAGAGATTATGGTAACGTTTGTCTGTATGAATGTTTGTTTTTTGAGTCTGTATATTTGTATATTTTAATTTTTTGTATTCAATAAAGTTGATAAATTAAAAAAAAAGAAATGGAAAAATACAGATAACAAATAGCACAGAAAGTATCTAAACAAAGAGACATTGACTCTTTCTTTCTTTGGAGCACGACAAGGCCAGATCCTTTCCTTCTTCCTCCCAGGAGACAATATCTGATCAGTGGTATTTTAATAAAAAACTAACTAGAAGCTCTCTTCTTGATTGGGGACTAGAAAACTCTTACCCAGAGAGACCACGTTCCTATGGTTTTCAAGCATGACTTCCGAATGCAGCGCTTTCTGGTCAGGATCCAACTGAGACCATTCCTCCTCAGAGAAATACACAGCCACCTCCTCGAAGGACACAAGACCTTCCTGGACATGGAAAAAAAGACAAGAACAGGAGGATTTACAAGATCTGTTCATCTTCATCATTCATTTAGTCAAGAGGATACAAGGAGAACTCATCAAATTTGCAGACAAGATCATATTGGCAGGAATACCAACACTCCAAAAGACAAGCTCGAGATATAGAAGGATCGACAGATTGGGCCCTGTTAGGAATGTAAGTCCCCTAACAGTTGGGTTGGAAATATATAATCCAGGATAGACATTTTAATACTCTCTTTAAAATTGTAATTGGGTGTGGTTCCTCAAACAGCCATAAGATGGAGCCAGAAACCTGGTTTCCCAGAGTGTTGCTAGTTGCTATATGGTTGATGTTCTAATGTTTCCTGTTTTTGGTTCCTGCATTTCCCTATTGACTATTGCTGATCATCGTTATTCTTGGATTAATGTGAGTCTGATTACTGACCTGTTTATGATACTGGACTTTGTTATTGGATTATCCTTGGACTGAAAACTGACTGCTATAACCGTGTATGACTTGGACTGTTTGTTGGACTTTGCTTAACCGTTTACTGGAAGTAAAACCTACATTTTACTATACAGTGTAGCTGTCTGCTGTGTGTGTTATTCAACATTACTCTCACTACGTCTCCCTGTGTGTGCTCATTTTCCTTACGAGGAATTACCTCAACAGGCCCCATCTAACAAAACGAAATCAATGGTAAGAAATGTAAGGTTCTACATTTAGGAAAGAAAAACCAAATGCACTGGCATAGAATAGGTGATACCTGGCTAGTGTCCTAGCAGACAAACATTTAAACCTGAGTCAGCAGCATGCTACAGTTACCCTCCCAAACTCCCAACAGAATAATAGACTGCATTAAGAGGGATAGAATCAAGATGACATGAAGTGTTAGTACCACTTTGTAAGGCCTTGGTAAGACCACACTTGGATTATTGCACCTAGTTTTGGTTGCCAGATGCAAAAAATAGATCTTGAGACTATAGAAAGAGGGCAGAGAAGAGCAACAAAAATTATTAGTAGACTGGAGGCTAAAACATATAAACGGTTGCTGGAATTGGGGATATCTAGTTTCATGAAAAGAAGGACTAGGGGAGACATTATAGCAGTGTTCCAAGAAGCAATGGATGGAAACTATTCAAGGAGAGAACCAACCTGCAAGTAAAGAGAAATTTCCTGACAGTGAAAACAATTAATCAGTGGAATGATTTTCCTCCACAAATTGTGGGTGCTCCAACACTGGAGGTGTTGATGAAGAAATTGGACGGCCATTTATCTGAAATGTTATAGGGCTTCCTGTCTGAGCAGGGGGATGGACTGGAAGACCTCCAAGATCCCTATCAAGTCTGTTATTCTATTCCATTGTTCCCAAATTCCCAAATCAGAGATATGCACTAAATTAAATGGCTATGGTTAACACAAGGTGAGAAAATGGGCAAATCTGAAAATTGCTTTCAGTGAAGAAATATTTGGGGAAGTTATATCAAGTTCATTGATTCTGGGATTACTTCTGCATCAACTAATCTATCGCTCTGTCTATCATTGATCGATCTAGTAGTCTGAGCCATTGGCTGAAAAGAAGAAAGCAAAGAGAAAATTCCCTGAGAATGTCATTTCTCAGACATTGTAAAGTAGGAATATTTGATCTCCTAATTGAGGTGCAAATCAGAGGATTAGACATCATTTTGTAGCCCAAGGTACCATGCTCAACACGGCCACTCCCTTTGGATTTTAATAGTCTGGTTTAGTTTTGTTCTATCGCCAGGACAAAGCAGACTCGAATACCAGAGTTGAAATCAGCTCTTTATTAGCAACCAGTAACTTCAACTGAAGTCGAGCCGCAGCAGCCCTTTTTATAGCGGCTGCTCGCGGCTCGCAACTAATGGCGTGTATTTAAACTTCCCACCGCTTACACGGCCAATCGTAGACCGCCCCTCTTAACCAATTGTTAAGCTATGTTAACTAACCAATAGGAATGTAGTATTAGAAGTCTATATTTGAATACACTACACCCCTCCCCTCTTGGTTCGCTCCAACATTACGCTACGTAGTTGCGCAGGTAGGCGGGGCTTTTGTGAGTCCTACTTGACCTGCGCAGTTCAGTCTCTGTGCTGGTCTCCACCGGTTCGGACAGGCCTGCTGTCCTTTCCGCTCTTCTCCTAGGAACCTCCTGGAAGGTTGCCTCAGCCATGCCGCTCCTACCGTGACTTGTTGGGTTGATTGGATGGTCGCCGTGGTCTCCCTTCATTGTGTGTGGGCAGGTAGTGTCAGCTTGGCTGTTTCTTTCCTGGTGCTCCTTCAGCTCTCTTTTCTTGGAGTCTTCTACTTGTAAGTAATTTTTATTGGTTTTTTTCTGGTTTCTCGGCTTCTGGTTGGTAGTTTGTAACCGGACTATTTTCATTTCCATTATTATTTAAGGGTCCGTCCCCACCCTCTGGTCTTTTTATTACTTTCAGGGGGTGCTTGGGGCAGTGTTTGCTCCATGTTTCGGGGAACGTTGGTGTTTCTTTCGATGTGTCGTGACCGTAGTTGATCGATGTGTCTTTTCCACGATCTACCATCAGCTGTTTCTAGCCGGTATGAATGAGGGCCTGTGATTTGTGTAATTGTAGCCGGTAACCACAACGGTTCTACAGTAAGGTTTTTAGCATATACTAGGTCACCCGGTAAGAAAATGCGATACTTACTGGAAGAGTCTGGTGGCTTTTCCGGGTTGTAAGTGGGGTGCAGTCTGTCTAAATAGGAGCGCAGCTTTCTTCCCATTAAAAGTTCGGCTGGGTTCTTGTTTGTTGCCATGCATGGTGTTATACATTGGATGGTGAGCATGGTATTGATTTTTTCTTGCATGTCATTTCCCTCAAGCTTTTCTAATGCTTCTTTTGTGTAATGAACCATGCGTTCCGCCCTTCCATTCGCCGCCAGATGAGCTGGAGCTGTTAAAGCGTGTCGGATTCCTTGTTCTGCTAAGAATTGTTCAAATGCCAAAGCTGTAAACCGTGGCCCATTGTCCGATATTACTACACCTGGTAGACCATGGGTGGCGAAAAGTTTCTTCAGTTGCTTGGTGACGGCTTCCGTTGTTGTTGAATTCATGATGATGACTTCCAACCAGTTGGAATAGGCATCCCAAATGATTAGATAAGTATATCCTTTTGTGGGGCCGGCAAAATCCATGTGGAATCTTGACCAGGGGCCTCTGGGTGTCTCCCAGTCAAGAACCGGTGCTGAGGGGGGAGTGGGTCTGGATGACTGGCACTTGTTACATGTTTTGACCCAGGTTTCAATGTCTTTGTCTATTCCTGGCCACCAAACGTAGCTTCTGGCCAGGGACTTCATCTTTACCATGCCCGGGTGTCCTTCATGTAACATGTTTAGCACGTCTTCTTGCAATTTTTTGGGAACGACCACCCGATCTCCCCACAATATGCACCCTTTTTCAATTGACAATTCAGTTTGTCAGTTTTTAAAAGGTTTAAAAGTTTTGGTTTTTTCATTTTCTGGCCAACCCCGTCCTACCCAGTTCAGTACTCGGGCCATCACTGCATCTTTAGCTGTTTCTCTTGCGATGTCCAATGCAGTGATGGGCCAATTTGGAATCGTTTCAATTTATAGGGTATCTGTGGTGGGTGCTGGGTCGTTAGCGTGACCTGGTAGTGGTGAACAGCTTAATGCGTCTGCATGGGGTATGGCTTTTCCTGGGCAATAAATGAGTTTGTAATTGTAGGCTGCAAGGAATTCTGACCATCTTGTCATTCTTGGAGACAGGATGTTGGGGGTGGCCCTGTCTCTGGCTAAGATTCCCAATAGCGGTTTGTGGTCAGTAATTAAAGAAAATGTCCTACCGTATAGATATTCATGGAAATGAGATGGCTGCCAAGGCTTCCCTGTCCAGTTGGCTGTAGTTCCTTTCGGTCTTGGACAGCGTCTTGGAATAAAAGGCGATCGGTGCTTCTCTGCCGTCTGGAAGTGTGTGGCTAAGTATTGAGCCTATTCCAAAGGGAGAAGCGTCACAGGTGACAGTCAGAGGTAGTGTGTCACTGTATTGTATCAATATAGATTTTGATGTGATTAAGTCTTTGATTTTTTGGAATGCTGTTTCTTCTTGGTGGCCCATTTCCAATTGGCTTTTTTATCCAGGAGTCTATGCAGTGGTTCCACTACTGTTGCCTTCTGCAGCAGAAAGACATGATAAAAATTAATGAGTCCCCAAAATGCTTGTAAATCCATTTTATTTCTGGGTCTGGGAGCTTCTTTTATTGCTCGTAATTTTTTTTTGTGTGTGTGGTGGATTCCCGCTTCATCAATAAGGTATCCTAGGAACTCGACCTGATTTGTGGCAAGGTGGCACTTTTCTTTTTTAACTTTGAGCCTGCTTCTCTAAATCTTGACAGGACTGCCCTTAATCGGTCTTTTAGTTGTTTCTTATTTTCGGCTGATATTAGTACATCATGAAAGTAGGGAACCACCCCTTTTAATCCTTGGAGAAGGCGTTCCATCAGGCTTTGGAAAACGCCAGGGGCCATGCTGACACCGAATTGTAATCTATTGCATTTAAATGCTCCTCTATGTGTTACGATAGTTTGCACCTCTGCCGTCTCGGGATCAACGGGTAATTGTTGATATGCCTGTGCGAGATCGAGCTTCACAAAGATCCTTCCTCTCCCCAATGAATACAGGAGGTGTTGGACTACTGGAATGGGATATGCGCTCTGTTGCAATGCATGGTTCAGGGTGGCCTTATAGTCACCACAGATGCGCACAGACCCGTCAGGTTTTATAGGGGTCACAATTGGGGTTTCCCATCTGGCATGGTCGGTTGGCTCTAAAACCCCCTGAGCGATGAGCTTGTTCAGTTGCTCGTCAATTTTTGGCCTTAGCACAAAAGGTACCCATCTGGCTTTAACCCTGATAGGGGCTACGTTCGGGTTTAAGCTAAACGATATAGGGGTCCCATGGTACTTGCCTAAAGTTCCGTCGAATACGTCATGGAATTCCTCCATCAGGTCTATCTCCCAGTCTGTCATGGTGACGCTGTCTATTCCTGTCACTTCTATGCCGAGCGGTTCGAACCACTCCAACCAGAGCAGGCTGGGGCAATCTCTGTCAATGATGGTAAGTGGAAGAATCTCGGTGTGTTTTTTAAATTCTACTCTGAAATGTCCCAGTCCTACCACTGGTGTCTTGTTGCCCTGGTAGTCCTTGATAATTAGGCTTTGGTCTTCAAGTTCCCTACATTTTATGTCTGGTATCAAATTTTTTATTGCGTTCCATGATACCATTGACAAATACGAACCGGAGTCTACTTCCATTTCATAAGGCTCGCCTTCTATCAGGACGTTGATTCGAACCTTCTTAGTGTTTGTTGTTCTGGCCGACCCAATGGTGATAGTCTGATGTGTCTCTTCCTTCTTGCTGAACCTTTGATTTCTATGCTCCCGGCTCCAGTGACTTATGGTCGATTTTTCCTTGTTTCTGTGGCGGGGGGTGGGGGTGTACTGCCATGCCTTCTTGGACTATAGCTCTTTTTGTTTCGGCAGACCCTTGCATTTTGCTCCCGTTTCTCACAATGCCTGCATGTAGCATCCAAGAATCGGCATTCAGACCTTGGGTGGTGTCCACCGCATCCCGCATACTGAAATTCAGGTTTTCTTCCTTGCCTCGCTCTCCAGTTCCTTTCTGAATGTTTACCTCCTCGTCTTCATCTTCGGAGTCGGTTGATGATTCGATATCTTCATGGTGAGAGGTTGTGGCAGTGTGCTTTTGGGCTCCTCCTGTTTTCTTTTCTTTATTCAGGCTCAGACTGTTTATTGTATTCATCTGCTTCATTTTTGCTGCAGACTTCTTTGCTGCTTCAGCGGCAGTTGCTTCAGCAATGGCTTCGTTTGTGGTGATGTTGGGTCGGTTTAACAGTTTGCTCTATAATGTAGCGTCTCTTAGTCCAAGGACTATACGATCCCTCATGGCTTCATCCATGTTGAGGAACTCGCATGACCCCCCAATGTCTCTTAACACTGCTATGAAGTCTCTGATACTCTCGCCTTCTAGTTGGTCGTGCTTGTGGAATTTGTGTCTTCTAATGAGATTAGACATGGCTACTGCGTAATGGTTTCTCAGCATCCGATTTAAGTCTGGCCAGGCCATCTGTTTGACATCATTGGGTCTTGCTAATGCCTTAGCCATTTAAAAAATAGTCGGGCCGCAATGCGTCAGGAAGACGCATTCCTCTGGTCAGTGATTCCCTGTAGTTCATTGCTTTCTAAAAACATCAGGAACATGTCAATGTATGACTCCCAGTCTTCTTCGGGTGGGTGGAAGGGTGCAGGTGGCGAATTGTTGTTGGCCATCTCACTGGTCTTTCGGCTATCGTTGTCACGTGCTTACGGTCTTTGTCCTTTCGATCCCACCCTCATCACCAGTGTTCTATCGCCAGGACAAAGCAGACTTGAATACCGGAGTTGAAATCAGCTCTTTATTAGCAACCAGTAACTTCAACTGAAGTTGAGCCGCGGCAGCCCTTTTTATAGCGGCTGCTCACGGCTCACAACCAGTGGCGCGTATTTAAACTTCCCGCCACTTATGCGGTCAATCGTAGACCCCCCCCCTTAACCGTTAAGCTATATTAACTAACCAATAGCAATGTAGTATTAGAAGTCTATATTTGAATACACTACAAGTTTTTAATATGATTTGCTTATTTTTGAATTTCAGGTTATAAATAAGGCTTTTTAAAAATGGCAATGTGGCAATGTATTTATTTATTGTTCATTAGTCTTGCACAATTCCCAAAGCATTACACACACACACACACACACACACACACACACACACACCCAAAAAAGAGTCTCTAGCAGTTCCTCCCACTGTGATACGTTTATTCCTATTTCTTGAAGGACTTTTTAAAAATTGCTTCTTGTAAACTCCAAGATGGAGGAGAAGCTAGCAGAACAAGATAACCAGAGGAAGCTATGCTGGCCGACAGCAACTTCAACCTGCTAACCCAAAAATAATCCAAGCTAAACAAGGAGGGGGAAACAGAAGGAGAGAGCCCTCTGCACACCCGCTTCACTTCCTGAAAGCAGAATACAAATCTAATAAACTTTTCCCTTTCTTACTTGTTTTGGAGGCTCAACTGCTGTTTGATCTCCATCATAAAAACCAGGAAACTTCATTCTTTGTTTCTCTGTAAGAAATAAATAATTTCAAAATGCATAATTAACAAAATAGGAAGACGTATTCTATAGAAGAGAAGAGAGCAAAGGTAAGATAGATGGGGAATTGGAGGATCTTCCATTACCTCCTGAGGTCTCCTGACTTTGATCCTCCCAAGGAATGCATCTGAAAAATAGCTCCTGAGGGGGATTTGATGGGTTCTTCTTTCCCTCAGGATCTCTGATCTCCACAGTGCAGCACTTCAAATAGGTGGAAGGAAGGAAGGAAACAGAATTAATGTATGTTACATGACATAAAGTAGATTCTTATATTCGGAACAGAACCTCAAAGCCCCCAATATCCATCCATGTGGCTGAGTGAGAAAACAATGGAAAATGTCCTACAAGAACTGGACAATTGCCTCATATTATGAATCTGGGAGAAGTTTGGGAAGGAGGAGTGAAGCATTAAAACTCTATTCCCTTCCAAGCTCCCTAAAGTCTCCCACCTGCCACTGGAGCTGCTTCTTCTTCTCCTCTGCCTGACTCAGGAGGAAGCCCTCTGCTAGGGCCACTGCCTGGGAACTGCTCTCTGCTCCACACTCCCGCACCCAGCCCTCCATCTCTGGGGGCAGGAGAGCCAGGATCTGCTCCAGAACTACCAGGTCCAGCATCTGGGCTTTACTGTGCTTTCCTGGGCTCAGCCATTGCCTGCACAAGTCATGGAGTTGGCTGCAAAGTCCTCGAGGACCCTCAGCTTCCCGGTATTGGATGGAGGTCCAGGGTGGAATTTCTGAAGGGAGTATGGTTCCCTCCTGCAGGACCTTCTGCCAGGTTCTGGTCCAGCTCTCCCCACAGCTCACAGACTGAAGAGTCTTGGGGCCTTTTCCGCTCTCCCCCTTGGCCAAAGGCAGTGTCTCCATCCTTCCTCTCTCTGGCAGAGCAACTCCCAAAAGCTCCAGGGACTCTGGGGGGTCTCCAGGGGCCTCTTCCTTCACGGAACCATTTCTGGAGCTGCAGGACGGATCCCTGCCGGTCCTTCCGTTCCTTTCCTTCCTTCCTTCCCCCACAGAGGAAATCCTGGCTTGCAAAGGCTGCTGAGGGCTACGAGGTTCTGAATCTGGGAGGGAGAGAAAAACCAATGCCCAGAATCAGAAAGGGGGATTCAGCCCCTGGACCCCATTCCCCAACCTGCCCACAGCCTGAAGCGGCTCGTCCCAGCGCAGGGCCCAGCCCCCCGCCCCCCCCAAGCAGCGCCAGGAAGGAGGCGGCTGGAGAAGCTGCCTATCCTCCTCTCCCACTCCAGAGACAGGACGGGGCCCTCAAGGAGCCCGGTGCGCATCTTGCCTCCTCCTCCTCCGGCATCTCTCATCTCCAGCCTCCAGCAGGCTCACCCTTCCCTCCCCCACTTCGCATGGAGAGGGCGGCTCGGGAGCATGGTACGAGGGAAGAGCCCCTCTCACCTGGGGCATATCTGGATGTCCCCCCGCCCCCAGCTTCTCTCGCAGCCTCTCCGGCTCCTGCGGTGCACCAGGGGTTGAAGAGAGAGACTGCGGTGTCCTAGAGAGGCAAGGCTCCGTGATGTCACTTCCTTTGCCACCTCCTTCTCTAGGAAAGCAGCCTTTGGCGCTTCGTCACTGGAGGCCGTGAAGAAGAGACAGGGCAGCCCCTTGTCCGGAATGCTGGAGGTTTTCCTGCCCGAGCAGGGGGCTGGACTAGAAGATCTCCCAGGCCCCGTCCAGCTCTGTTCTCTTCTAACTGCAGGCTGTTCGTGGTTCTGCCCATCAATAAACCTCTTTTCTTAAGCAGCCTCCATTTTCTCCCCTTCTTGGACCTTGGATTTTTCTTCCCAAACTTTCCTGGGGAACCCACGACTGGCAGCTGCAACTGAAGAGATTGAATGTGGGGGAATCGCGCAGCTGCTGCCCAAAGGAAGAGGGAGGAAACACTTGAGACAAACTTGTATTTTATATCAATATCAATGAATTTAACAGTCGCAGCAGAGAAGACAAACAGGAAAATCCTGAGGTAAATTAAACAGGCCAGTCCAGAGAAGAAAAAGGCGGGGAAAAGGAAACGCCCCCTTTCCACCCACAGCAACCAATCAGAGCGCGGATCCCCCCCCCCAGGCGGGAGCCCGCCCCTCACTCGGCCACAACGGGCTGCTTGGGGCCTTTGTGCGCTTTCCTTCTCCAGCCATTTAATGGGATATTTTCACATTTAAAGGGTTCAGAATAAAGACCCAAAATGACTTTGCTTTTATCCATTAGATTGAATTATCAAGCTGGAATGCGCTGTTCTAAAAAGAAGTAAACATCTTTTTTTTCCCGTTTTTTCTCTTGTACCTCAGACTTTCTTTTCCCCTTTTTCTCCTTCCCTTAATTTCCTATTTCTATTTTTCTTTCTTTTTTGTATGATAAATAAATAAGAGCTTGAGACTCTAGAAAGAGTGCAGACAAGAGCAACAAAGATGTAGGCTAAAAGGTATTTTAACAAAAACGGTTGCTAGAACAGAGTGTGTCTGGTCTGAGGAAAAGGACGAGGGGAGACATGGTGGCATCTTCCAATATCTCAGGGATTTCCACAAAGAAGATTTCTCTCTCCTCTCCTATAAATCAATAAATATAGAAGCGGACCTAATGAAAGAGGCGGGGGTGGAGAGGCACTTTATAGATAATAATCAAACCGCTCAAGAAACGCCACAGAAGAAAGAGGAAAACCTCCTTCAAGACATTTGGGTTCCTATAAAAGGGGGAAAAGAAGAACAGACGTCGAAGACTTTGTCTGACAGGGAGCCATGGAGGGGGGGGGGAACTTTCCCCCTACTCCCAAGCCCATCATCCCCGCCCCCCACCCACGCGCTCCTCTTTCCCGCCCTTTCTACCATCCTGGCACCTGGCCCAGATCCACTCGGATCCGCCAAGGGAAGGGAACTCCAGGCGCTTCCCCATTGGGCCACTGGAGGGCGAACTTTCCAGAGAAGGAGGCATTAAAGGAAGTGACCTCAATAAGCCTTTCCTCTCTAGGACGCCGCACTCGCTCTCTTCAACCCCTGGGACGCTGCGGGAGTTGGAGAGGCTGCAGGAGAGTCTGGTGGGAGGACATCCAGACGTGACCTGGGTGAGGGGGAGGGGGCTCTTCGCGGGTCCTTTGCTCCCCAGCCTCCCTCCATGGGAAGTGGGGGGGAGATGGGTCTGGCGGTGGCTCAGCAGGAGACGAGAGAAGCCGGGCGGGGAGGAGGAGGAGGAGGCAGGTTTCGCACCGGGCTCCCCGAGGTCCCGATCCTGTCTCCCGAGGGGGGTAGAATCGGGGGGGGGGGGGGGGGGGGGGGGGCCCGACCAGCTGCCTCCCTCCCGGCCTTGCTCCGGGGGGCCCTGGGCCCTGCGCTGGGAGGTGCCGCTTGGGGGAAGGGGGTCCAGGGGCTGAATCCCCCTTTCTGATCCTGGGCGTCGGTTTTTCTCTCCCTCCCAGATCCGGAATCTCGAAGCCCTCGGAAGCCTTTGCAAGCCAGGACTTCCTCTGCGGGGGAAGGAAGCAAGCAAGCAGAAGGACTGGCGGGAATCTGTTCTGCGGCCCCAGAAATGGTTCTGTGAAGGAAGAGGCCCCTGGAGACCTCCCACAGTCCCTGGAGCCCTTTGGAGTTGCTCTGCGGGAGAGAGGAAGGATGGAGACATCCCCTTTGGCCAAGGAGGGGAGCAGAAAAGGCCCTTCGGCTCTTCAGCCTGTGAGCTGTGGGGAGAGCTGGACCAGAAACTGGCAGAAGGTCCTGCAGGAGGGAATCATCCTCCCTTCAGAAGTTCCACCCTGGACCTCCATCCAATATCGGGAGGCTGAGGGTCCTCGAGGACTTTGCAGCCGACTCCATGACTTGTGCAGGCGATGGCTGAGCCCAGGAAAGCACAGCAAAGCCCAGATGCTGGACCTGGTGGTTCTGGAGCGGCTCTTGGCTCTCCTGCCCCCAGAGATGGAGGGCTGGGTGCGGGCGTGTGGAGCAGAGACCAGCTCCCAGGCGGTGGCCCTGGCGGAAGGCTTCCTCCTGAGCAAGGTGGAGGAGCAGAAGGAGCAGCTCCAGTGTCAGGTGGGAGACCCTAGGAAGCTCGGAAGGGAATAACTGGAGAGAGTGTTTGAATGCTTCGCTCCTCTTTCCCAAACTTCTCCCACGTTCATAATGTGTGGCAATTCACCAGTTCTTCTAGAAGCCTCTGGCGCAGTGGTTAGAGTGCACTACTGCAAGCTGCTTCTGCAGCCAGCTGCCTACAGGTTGGCAGTTCAAAGCCCACCAGGCTCAAAGTTGACTTTCCATCCTTCCGAGGTAGGTAAAATGAGGACCCAAATTGTTGGGGCAATATGCTGACCCTGTAAACCACTTAGAGAAAAACACTATAGAACAATATATAAATCTAAGTGCTATTGTTCCATTGTTAGGTTGTGAATACAAGAAACCACTTTGTGTCATGTGATGTACATTAATTCTGCTTCCTTCCTTCCTCCTATTTGAAGTGCTGCACTGTGGAGATCAGAGATGCTGAGGGAAAGAAGAACCCATCAAATCCCCCTCAGGAGCTTTTTTTCAGGAAGATCCCTTGGGAAGATCCAAGTCAGGACCCCTCAGGAGGTAATGGAAGATCCTTTGATTATCCATCTGTCTTGCCTTCGCACTCTCTTCTCGCCTATAGAACAGGGGTCGCCAACCTTTTGGACCTCACGGACCACCAAACTCATAATTTTAAATCCCAGGGACCACTAACCGGTTCTGTGGGCATGGCCTAATTTTTGGGTGTGACTTGGTGGTCATGTGACCGGCTGGGCATGGCTTGTATGTAAATATTATAAATATTTATATAAATATTGATTTTTTTTATTAGAAGAGCAACTTTTACCCAAAATCAGGCAAAACAGGCAGGCAGATTGAGTTGCTCACAGAACCATTCAGTGATCTATTTATCTGCCACTGGCTGGCTCAATCTGTCATATAAAATTTGCTTGCCGTGAGTCTGCACTGAATAAGAACCTTCAGTCCTAAAGGAGGTTTGGCTGTGCTTAAAGCAGACCCAAAGATCTAAGGACTAGCTAGAAAACAAGAAATCCAACCATTTCCTGCTTCCTAGCTAATCTAAATCTCCCAGCACATCAGAACAGCTGATGGTCCAAAAAATAGCAATTTAGAAGGCAAGTTTGTTGGGTAAGGAGTGAGTGGTCGAGGAGGGTTCCCGCGGGCCATGTGGGTGGCGTAGCCTTGTGTTTCTGCACAGCCTGGATTAACTGCTTTGTGGGGGTGCTCTGGGGCTGAGATTTCTCTGAGGCCCACCAAAATTTTCTCATGGCCCACTGGCGACTGCCGCTATAGAATGCCTCCTATTTTGTTAATTAGATCCAAGTCAGGACAGCTCAGGAGGTAATCGAAGATCCTCCAATTCCCCATCTGTCTTACCTTCCCTCTCTCTTCTCTTTTATAGAATACCTCATCCTATTTTGTTAATTATGCATTTTGAAATTATTTATTCCTTACAGAGAAACAAAGAATGAAGCTTGCTGGTTCTTATAATGGCAATCAAACAGCGGTTGAACCTCCAACTCAAGTAAGAAAGGAAAAAGAGATTTGTATTCTCCCTTCAGAAGTGAGGCGGGTGTGCAGAGGGCTCTCTCCTTCTGTTTTCCCCACTTCTTTGTCCTGGATTATTTTCATGTTCTTCCACAACATGGAGAGCAGAATTGCAGGTTCAAGTTTCTGTCAGCCAGCATAGCTTCCTCTGGTTATCTTGTTGGGCTAGGTTCTTCTCCAACTTGGAGTTTACAAGAAATTTTTTAAAAAGTCCTTCAAGAAGTAGGAATAAACCTATCACAGTTGCAGGAACTGCTAAAGACACCCCTCCCCTTTTTTTTCTTTGACTCGGAATTTTGAAAGTCTAATGAAAAATAAATACATTCCCACATTACCCTTTTTAAAAAGCCTTATTTATAACCTGTCGTTCTAAATTAAGCAAATCGTAATAAAAAATAAAGCCGACTATTAAAATCCAAAGGGAGTAGCTGTGTTCAGCCTATAATCATGGTACTTTGGGCTACAAAATAATATCCAGAACTCTGATTTATGCCTCGATTAAGAGAGCAAACCCTCCCGTTTTTGCAATGGCTGAGAAATGACTTTCGCGGGGAATTTTCTTTGTTCTCTTCTGCTCAGCCAATAACTCAGATTACTAGGTCAATCAATGATAGACAGAGCGACAGGTCAGTTGATCCAGAAGTGGGATAACTTTGCTGAAAGGCACTGAAGTTTTACAGAATCAATGAACTTGATAAAATTTTCCCCAAATATTCTGTGAAAGCAATTTTCAGAGTTGCCCATTTTCTCACCTAAAATTAGGACTTGTGTGACACACTCTGCTTTCATGTCACCCCTTCATCCTTCTTTTCACAAAACGGGACATACCCAGCAACCGTTGTTTATATGTTTTGGCCTAAAGACCACTAATAGGTTTTGTTGCTCTTCTCTGCCCTCTTTCTAAAGTCTAAGCATCTTTTTTACATCTGGCAACAAAACCGGATGCAATATTCCAAGTGTGGTCTTACCAAGGCATTATAAAGTGAAACTAACACTTCATGTCATCTTGATTCTATCCCTCTTAATGCAGCCTATGATTCTGTTGAAGTTTTTTTTTTTGGGGGGGGGGGGGGCAACTGAAGCATAGTGCTGACTCAGGTTTAAGTGGTTGTCTACTAGGACTCTTAAAATCCCTGTGGCACTTACTACTGTGTAGCCAGGTATCACCTATGCCAGTGTGTGTGTTTGTTTTTCTTTTCTAAATGTAGAACCTTACATTTCTCATTGTTGATTTCATTTTGTTCGGTGGGGCCCAATCTGTCGATCCTTCTGTATCTCGAGCTTTTTAGTTTGGAGTGTTGGTATTCCTGTCAATCTGGTCTTGTCTGCAAATTTGATGAGTTTTATCCTCTTGCCTAAATGAATGATGGAGATGAACACATCTTGTGAATCCTCCTGTTCTGTTCTTTGTTCCATGTTCAGGAGGGTCTTGTGTCCTTCGAGGAGGTGGCTGTGTATTTCTCTGAGGAAGAATGGTCTCAGCTGGATCCTGACCAGAAAGCGCTGCATTCAGAAGTCATGCTTGAAAACCATAGGAACGTGGTGTCTCTGGGTAAGAGATTTCTAGTCCCTAATCAAGATTATAGTCCGTTTTTTATTAAAATACCACTGATCAGATATCATCTCCTGAGAAGGAGAAGGAAAGGATCTGGCCTTGTGGTGCTAAAGTACTTTAGGCCTCCATTCTCTGAGAACCAATGCCTGTACCAGATCCGGCCAAAGAGCCCTTGCAAGCCGATGAGACTTTGGGCCGGCGAAATAGCCATTCTTGAAGCATCCCAACCTTTCCAGTCTCAGCACGAAGAGCATTTAGAAGGCAATGGGAGGCTTCAGGAGGGAATTTTCTCCAAAATCTCATCGCTGGGACAGACAGACAGACTCTGTCGAGTAGCTGCTCCAAGGGACACCGGGGCAGAAGAAGCTTGTTTCAAAATTGTTTCATTTCTCACAGGTCTCTGCTGAAAGTAACCCAGCCCAATATATCTTAAGTTTTCTTCTAATTCCTCCTTGGATATTTCCCCTGATCATTCCTTAACTCAAAACGGCCTCTGAGTCAGATTTGCATATATATAGATAATTATAAAGAAAGATATTTTCTAGACATTTTCAAAGCTTTCACGACTCATGAATATAGAAATCATCATATCTATATCACACCATTGTAGACATGCAAACATACAACCTAATGGAATTTCGGAGGAATTCAGAAGGAAATTCACTTGACTTTCTACACTTTGAACTTTTTCTCTAACCTTGTCATCATTTCCATTTCCTTTTTGCTTTGAAGGTAATAATGGGCAGGAGAATCAAGATTCCTGTGAAATGTTCCAAGTGATCAATGCTAAAGATGGAACGGAGAAGTTTGGAATTCAAATGGAATTCGGAAGCCATGAAAAAAAACAGTCAAAGAATTCCAACCAGGACAGCTCCTCTTCCAGGGATGCTCCAATGCAAAACAAAGGAGATGATGCTATAAGAAGACACAATGGACAAAATTACAATGGGACATTCATTCTTTCTCTTGGGAATAACTTCTTTACATCTCAAAAAGTGATTGACACAAAAGAGAAGCCTTATAAATGTTTGGAATGTGGAAAATGTTTTAGAACAAACAGGGAACTTACTATCCATAAAAGGATCCACTTGGGAGTGAAGCCGTACAAATGCATGGAGTGTGGAAAGATATTTGCTCATGGCAGCGGACTTACTATCCATGAAAGGATCCACACAGGGGAGAAGCCATTTAAATGCATGGAGTGTGGAAAGACCTTTGCTCAAAGAGGTAATCTTATTTCCCATAAGATGACTCACACAGGGGAGAAGCCTTTTAAATGCATGGAGTGTGGAAAGACCTTTGCTTATAGAAGTAATGTTATTTCTCATAAGAAGATCCACACAGGAGAGAAGCCATTTAAATGCATGGAGTGTGGAAAGACCTTTGCTCGGAGCAGTGGCCTTAGAAGCCACAAAAATATTCACTCAGGAGAGAAGCCATATAAATGCATGGAGTGTGGAAAGACCTTTGCTCGGAGCAGTGGCCTTAGAAGCCACAAAAAGATCCACACAGAAGCGAAACCATTTAAATGCATGGAGTGTGGAAAGACCTTTGCTCAGGACAGTGATTTTAAAAGGCACAAAATGATCCACACAGGAGAGAAACCACTTAAATGCATGGAGTGTGGAAAGACCTTTGCTTATAGAAGTTGTCTTATTTCCCATAAGATGATCCACACAGGAGAGAAGCCATTTAAATGCATGGAATGTGGAAAGACCTTTGCGCGGAGCAGTGTCCTTAGAAGCCACAAAAATATCCACTCAGGAGAGAAACCATATAAGTGCATGGAGTGCGGAAAGTCCTTTGCTCAAAGAAGTAATCTTATTTCCCATGAAAGGATCCACACAGGGGAGAAGCCATTTAAATGCATGGAGTGTGGGAAGACCTTTGCTCGGAGCAGTGGCCTTAGAAGCCACAAAATGATCCACACGGGAGAAGCCATTTAAATGCATGGAATGTGGAAAGAGTTTTGCTCAGAATGGTCATCTTATTTCTCATAAAAGGATCCACGTTCGGGAGAATCTATATAGCAATAGCAATTCTACTTAAACTTATATACCACTTCTGGGTCCTCATTTTAGCAACCTCAGAAGGATGAAAGACTGAATTAACCATGAGCCAGTCAGGATCAAACTCCTGGCTGTGGGCAATTAGCTTGTAGTTCTGCATTCTTTTTTTTTGGTAAAGTTTTTTATTTTTGAGAGCACTGACAGATACAAACATAAAACATCAAAATAAAACCATCTTTCTATTGTATACAGTGTGTCGGTTGGTACATATCTCTTTTGCACAATATCAACAGTCTGTCTCTTCTAATTTAAATTAAATTTCATATTGTAAATCAACTATGCAAATTATACCATTATTATTAACTCCTTATTAGACTAAAATTAAAAATTCACATTTTTACGAGCAAATTTCAACTTTAATGTAGGTTAACTTATATTATTCATTTCATTATAACCATTGTTTACCATAATGATGTATCATTACATTATCTTATCTCTGTTATTCTATTATAATTGTATTATAATGTATTTTATTTCCCTATCTTCTTATCTAGCCATTGATAAAAGAAATCTCATATTTTATTGTTTATCTTCTTGCTCTCTAATTTCTGTCAATTTACTCATTTCTGCACATTCTTTTATTTCCTTCATCACTTCCTCTTCTGTTGGAATTTTCCCATTTTTAGTAAATACGATTCTAGCTGCTTTTAAAACATCAAGTAAGTCAATTCAGGTAAAATACCCAATAAAAATATTTCTGGTTTCAAATCTATATGCTGTTTTGTCATTTTTTCCAGCCATATATGAATTTTACTCCAGTATCTTTTGGCTTCCACACACATCCACCACATATGGTAATATGATCCAGGTATCTGAAGACACTTCCAGCATTTCTCTGATTTATTCTTGAACATTCTTGCTGGGGGTAGATGCCACCTGTAAAACATACAAATTCTCCTTGTATGCTGTTGACATCATTTTATAATTTGAGACCATAATTTTTGCCATTTTTCTAAGCCTATCCCCCCAAAAATTTCCCAAAGCAATCATTGTTTAATTTTTTCTTCTTCTAATTTAACCTCAAATAAATATCCATATAATTTTTTAAATCACCTTCTCATCAGAACCTGTCAAAATTCTATCTAATTCAGTTAATTTATCATAAAAACCTGTTTTACAACCTTTATCATATCTCGAATGTATTTACACATATGAATAGTAATTCATTTTTATTTGTTCGTTTAGTTCTTGCATAGATTTGAGTTCACCCTTTTCATTCAATATTTCACCATATCTGGCTGTTCCATTTTATAAACAATTGGATATGCAAATGCTTCGATAGTTGACAGCCAGACTGTTATTTTCATGTAATGTTTTCTTATTTTCTCCCATGTTGATAATAAAGCATCTAGAATGTAATGTCTCCTAAAACAGGGGTCGCCAACTTTTTCGACCTCAGGGACCACCAAACTCATAATTTTAGATCCCAGGGACCACTAGCCGGTTTTGTGGGTGTGGTCTAATTTTGGGTATGGCTTGGTGGTCGTGACTGGCTGGGCATGGCTTCTATGTAAATATTATAAATATTTATATAAATATTGAATTTTTTTACAAAAAAGAGCATTACCCAAAATCAGGCATAGCAGGCAGATTGAGTTGCTCACAGAATCAGATTCATTCAGAGATCTATCTGCCATTGGCTAGCTCAGTCTGTCACAAAATTTCCTAGCAAGCAAACTCACAAAATTAACTCACAACACACCATGCTGTAGGTACTGAATTTTTTATTTTTTAAAAAGAGCAACTTTTACCCAAAAGTAGGCAGGTAGATTGAGTTGCTCACAAAACCGTTCAGTGATCTATCTGCCATCGGCTAGCTCAGTCTCTCAAATTTGCTTGCCGTGAGTCTGCACTGAATTTGCTTACAAGCAAACCTTCAGTCCTAAAGGAGGTTCTGTTGTGCTCAGTTGAAAGCAAGAAATCCAACCATTTCCTGCTTCCTAGCTAATCTAAATCTCTGCACAGCAGAATAGATGATGGTCTGAAAAAGGAAAAATAGCAATTTAGCAGGCAAGTTTGCTGGTAAGGAGTGGGCGGGGAGGGTTCCCGCGGGCCATGTGGGCAGCACAGCCTTGTGTTTCTGCGCAGCCTGGATTAATTGCGATCCTTGAACCCAAAACCGAGCTGTGTGTGTGTGTGCTCCCCAATCAACCGCCTAAGAGACCCCCAAGTCCTCGCTGGCTGTGGGGCTGTGCCTCCCCTTCTCCCATCCACCACAGCAACACCTCAAGCTGGATTGGAGGGGAAGGGCAAAAGGAAGCCCCACTCCCCTCCAGGGCTGGCCTAAACCCCCACTTGACCTGCAGCCCCCCAAGACTGAAAAGAACCCCCTCCCGCTTTCTCTGCTTCGTTCTCTGCACCGAGCTCCTGCCTCCATCGGGTGAACTCTGCCCGGAGACTGATGACGTGTCAGAGGGAGAATTCCCATTGGTCCTTTCACTTTCATGGACCCTCCCAATCCCAAAATTAGAGGAAAATGCCCCCTCCCCCCAATTCAGACCCCCGCTAGATTCTGCCTTCCCTCCTTTGGGGTTGCTTGTGGGGCAGCATCCATGGGCTCCCTCTGGTGCTGCTGGTGGGGGCTCCTGACCCGGATCCCCGGAAGCGAAGATGGGAAGGAGATCCATGGGAGGGGGGGGCTGGGCGGGGGCAGGGGAAGGGCTGGGTGGGGCCGTCAGGGCTCCTGGGGGGGGGGGAAGTGGTTGAGACCACCGTAATGGGGAAAGGGGTCGAGGACAAGAGGGGCGGGAGCCTGAGAAGCCTCGATCTCCATGTGGTCTCCGCTCCTTCCCTTGCTCCACTTTGCCCAGGTGGATGAAGAGGGATTGCTGTCTCCCTTCCTTGTGACTGTGGAGGGGGGGGTCGTGGGAAGGCGGCCAAACTGAATAGAGATGCAGTCGGACCCCGATCGCCTCCCTTTGTGACTGGGTGGGAGTGGGACCTTCCAGGCCCTGATTTAGACCCCAATCCGGAGCCCCTGAAGTCAGTTGCTTGGAAAGCGGACGGCGGTGGAAAGCGAAAGAGGGTAACTGAGGCATGTTTAAACCTGAAGTCACAAACACCACCAAAAGTAGAAGAAAAATAGAATTTTTACAGCTTCAGAAATTTCAGTTTTTCCCCGCTGAGGCTGTGAAGGTCAGGCAGGATTTCAGCCTCAATCCCTTCTGGGAGGGGGCTCTGAATTTGGGGAGGAGACCAAGACCCCCCTCCCCATAATCCCCCATCATCCGATCAGGACCTGGGAGGGGAAGGGAGAGCCACAGGGAGGAACTGATGAATGGGGGGAATTAAGAGTTTTCCCCTTAGATTGCCCCCCCATCTAACCCTCTGGTGAAGGGGGAGGAGACCCTCCCTTTGAGGTGGTCTTTGGGGGGCTGTTTTGGGGGGAGAGAGCCCCGATTCTACCCCAAATCCTAGAAGGGCTGAAGATTAGAGGGAGGGGAAAAGTTGGAGGTAACCAGAGAAAATGGGGGTTGAGGGGAGGAAGGGGCTCGGAGACCCCAGAAGGATCCGTTGCCCCCATTATTTCCCGTCCTCTTATATCGCCCCCCCCCCCCGGAAAAGAGAGAGAGAGACGAAGGCATATTTGTCTTTATGTATGTTACATTTTTTATGGTGCCCATCTTGTCTGAAAAGGTCTGAAGGGATTCCTGCCTGAGGAGGGGGTTAGACTAGATGACATCCAGGGTCCCTTCCGTCGTTCTGTTCTATGAAATCTCCCCTACAAGGGGACTCTGGGTGCCTTACAGGTTATGACTGGAAATGGAATATATTGAAATCTAATATATTTAAGTGTATATTTTACATATATGTACATATATATGTATGTGTATGTATGTATATATAAGAAAGAGAGGCCCCCAAAGGAAGCTGCCAGCCTCCTCCTCCCCCCAACCTGCCACCTTCAGCTTCCATTTCTTAGAGGTTGCAAACAGGACAAAGAGTCATCAGCCGCTAAAGAAAAAAATATCTTTTTGCATTGGAGAGCAGGATTAATTCATGAGGGCTGCAGAAAAAGAGAAGGGGAAGAAAATTAGAATATAAAGAAAAACTTTACTGTAAATAACATTTTTTTCTTCCCTTTCACCCCCCAACCCCCAAGGCAGGCCCACACTGCAGGGGGCCCACAATACTGTAGTGCATGTTAACATGGGACTCGCCCCTTTTAAAATAGACAAAGTGTCGGGATTCAAAGAACTGACCGGTTTTATCTCCTGAGGTGAATCCCTACACATTGTCTTGATTGGGGAGTGAAAGTTGGATCCTGACATTTGTAAGATATCAACTTGAGCGGAAGGCGTCTCGTGCATTTGAGGATCCCATCCCAGTTCAACTTATCTCGTGTCGGCGCGAATGTGCAGCGGGGATGGGGTGAGAGAGGGTTTGTCGCTCCAACTCCTCTCTTCAAGAATTAAAAATGGAACTTAAAAATATGAGAGAATTACTACAGGAAAGAGGCGAATCACTTTGCTCTGTGTTAGAAAAAATGGAAATGGCAATTGAAGAACAAGAAGAAAGAGCTTCAGAGGAGGAGGAGTTGACTCAAGGAGAAGACATTTTAAATAGACAATTAACACAAAGAATGCTGCAACGAAGTGGGGAAAGAAGGAAGGTTAAAAAGTTGAAATTTAAGAAAGCAAACAAAAGGGGGAATACCTGTGAAGTCGGGAAAGGCAGAAAGACCCAGCAGAAAAGGGGAAAGGAAGATATTAAGAAAGAGAGGGATATAAACTGGAATGAGAAAAGATATGGGGAAAAGAGGGGGCGGAGAAGCAGTAAGAAACAGGTGCATGAAATAAAGAAATACAGAAATAGTAAAATGTTGAAATTGTTTTTTCAGAGATAATGGTTGATGAATTAAAAAGGGGATTCTGCAGGGTGACAAGGGGTAATAAGAGTATTTCTG